ATCTATCTATCTATATATATATAGATACCTATATCTATATCTATCTATCTATATCTATCTATCTATATCTATATAGATATCTATGGGTGATATAGGCAACGCCTAGGCACATTGTGCGGGTGGCCAGCAGCAACCTTTAGATTTGAGATCGTTATGCACTCGATGAAACAGCGCGTAGCTGAAACCATATTATAACATCTACTTTCCGCCCACTGCGATCGAGCGCGAGCGATGCGCAATGCGCTAGTAAGCGGAACTATATGATATATACCGTCTTTGCGTGCCAAGCCGTGAGGCATTTCGAAATCGTGCATGCGGAAAAACAGATAATATCGGTAAGTGTGCGCCGTTCGATTTCGAATATACACTCACAGGTATTATGCTCAATCTATGTATGAAGAAAACCGCTATATATGTTTGCGAAGCCAGCATATGTAACATTAATTGCGAACAAAAATCAATAATATACGCGCACGTTTCTAAAAATAGTGTCTGATGTGTCTGTGCCCCCCTCAACTTACCTAATTACTGCTCTTGTTTAAAAACTAAGGTTTTCAGCATTAATATTTCTGATGTCTGTGTTCTACTATTAAATATAGACGATTGAATGACTCCTAGTTAGTGCACTAAGTTTTTAAACGAATACCCCAGGTGTCCGGTCTCTAAATAGGTACTGTGTAGTAAGTATAGGATCAGTAAAAGTAATAGTAATAGTACTAGTCAGTAATATATAGTCAGTAGATATATATAGTCAGTAATAGTAGCAGGATTAGGAAAATACATACGTTTACGCGCACGCACGTACGCACGTACGCACATACGCGCGCGCGCACACACACACACGCACGCACACACACACGCACACACTCACGCACACGCACACGCACGCACACCAAGTACCATCGCACACATACAGCGTTCTTGCTGGGATTCAGACCCTGTTATCTCAGTACGCCTCCGTACTACGGCCAGGCACCACGACCTGCACGCTCGCTCGTTTCTATAAGTACTCGCTCGCGGCTGGCTTAAAATGAAAACGCTTGTATATATAACTTAATCAATATAACTAATAAACGTGGAGGACGACGACGATGACAACAGTGAAGGCGACAAAAACAATAACGACGACAGAGACGACGACGTCGACGATGACAACAGTGACGACGATAGAGACGAATACGATGGCAACAGTGACGACGACGACGATACCGACGACGACGACATTAATGACAACGATCCCAGTGGTGTCAATGAAAACAACGACAACGACGACATCGACGACGACATCGACGACGACGACGACAGCAATGACGACGACGACAGCGATTCCGACATAGAGACGAAGACGATAACGATGACATCTCCGACGTCGTCGACAACGATGACAAGAAAGACAATGACGTCACCAACGACGACGACAGAGACGTCGGAAAGAAGCCTCGCTCGTCCGCCCGTCGCAGCGACGAAACAAGCGCCAGCTGCTGCGACGCGCGTTCGCAACGAAACTGGATGTGACGCGCGTTCGCAATGCAACCGGATGTGACGCGCGTTCGCAACGCCACCGGATATAACGCGCGTTCGCAACGCAACCGGATGTGACGCACGCACGCAGCTTTAGCGCCCCGCCCCGTCACGCGTACGTCATTCAATCTAACCTGCCCCCGCGATCGCGGCAGATGCTCTCGTTCGCTCGCCTCCTCACCAAAATCGCCGACGAGTTACACCTTATAACGGCGCGGAGGCTGCGCCGATGACATCGAATTAGGAATAAAAAGCAGACGTACGTGTATTATATTCGCCAAAAAACTCGTCATTTTACCAGATACATGGCATATGAAACACAGGATATAGCCGCCTGTCACATTAGCAAATATTATAGAATTTTATCTATGTTCCACAGGCTAAGATGCGGGTTCGCGCATGCGCAGTATCTCACTAAATAACTGATATTTTGATTCAAAAATATATTTAACACTGGAGCGGGGGTATCCGTGTGTAGATTTATGAGATAAAAGTCTATTGCTATTGCTCTTATAAAAGATGGTACGACGCCCTAGCTTCCATGGTACCCCGGAGATAGTGTTTCTGGCAGTATTCTCTCAGATACACGTACGTGTATTATATTCGCCGAAAAACTCGTCATTTTACCAGATACATGGCATATGAAACACAGGATATGGCCGCGTATGTATGTATGTATGTATGTATGTATGTATGTATGTATGTATGTATGTATGTATGTATGTATGTATGTATGTATTATGTGATGTATGTATATCGTATGTATGGTATGTATGTATGTAGTATGTATGTATGTATGTATGTAGTATGTATGTATGTATGTATGTATGTAATGTATGTATGGTTGTCTGTATGTATGTATGGATGTA